ATCCTAAACGGCCCTAAACCCTAAACCCGTGTTGGTGCAGGTATTCTGCCGCGAAGCTGTTTTGCACCGTGTCTGTCTGATGTCGGTCCTTATCCGCGTGCAGAGGGATCAGCTCCTGACATCCGGTCACTTGTGGCTTCGAATTGCGGTTCTCAGCCCCAAGACCTACTTTGAACAGGTACAAGCATAGGACTAAATTATGTAGAGCATGGAAGGGGGCACCATTGCTAATCATTCCCGCTATAGCGCAGATCAAAGCTCCGAGAACTCCAAAGGTTCCCTGGCACATGAGGGACACTCTACTTGGAGGATCAAGGGACTTAGTAAGTAAGGTTATAAGTCCCTTAATTGGGGTTATAAGTACCTTTATCTTAATTATAACCCTACTTACTAAGTCCCATGATCCTTTAAGTACAGGTGCTGTTCGAGGAAACCCACATCGGTGTCCATGCCTCCTCCTTGTCATCCGTGTTGCTGCTACTTGCCTTGCACGGTGTTTGTCAGCCTTTTTTTATACAGCTTTTTACAAGCATGTGAATCCCTTCATTCTGGCAAAGGAAACAGTCATGACGGTTTTTTTCTGGCCTGTTACCGTAACTAGTGGCTTGGGGGGTTCGAGGATTTTCAAAGGCTCATAGAGTTGGGGCCTTAGGGGATGTCAGCGTTTTGAGGAAGTGCATGACTGAATCATGACTGTTGGTGGGGATTGCCCAGGGGGCGGAAGGTCGCGACGCAAGGTCCCAGTCAGAAGTTACATCCGCGTTTGCAAACCAATGAAGATCAATGAACCAACTAAAGTTGATCAGTGTGACAGAATCTGCCTCACAGAACCCTGCTTGCATGGGAACCTCCCTGACGAGCCGAATGTTGCTATAAAGATTGCCTGCACAACCGTAAACCGTAAACAAAAAACAGCGGGCTCGGTTACTTCTGTCCATCTGACACTGGCTGCACTGATTGAGAACACGATAGCTGTGCCAGGCGTATCACTTTATCACAACTGTTCAAGGAACCCGTGGCTCGCCTAGGGTGATGCTACCTTTTGCAGCTCACTGCCTGCGAGCACCGAAGTAGAAAACCTCCGACGAATTTGTGTTTATCTGTTTCAGCAACGGAAAGAAGAGCTGCCTAGCTGGTCACCCACTGCATGCGCCAAGACTGCTGGTGACGAAGGCGCACCTGTAGCCTGCGTGACGAAGTAGTCCACAGCCCTTACTTCCCAAAGCGTGTCTAACGGCGACGAAGCTCTTCCCCTCAAGCATCCACTGTCCTCTATGGTTTCCGGGCCTTACGTGCGCCGCAGCATCCCAAGAAATAATTTCAAGCGCTTTGAAGCTTCTTGGGACACTGCGGCTTCGCTTCGTGCCCTCCGTCACCTCCCGCAACTCCAAAAAAGTATTGCGCGTGCACATCTCCAAGGTAGCCTCCCTGTCATCTTTGTCGATGACAGGGAGGTTACCTTGGAGATGTGCACGCGCAATACCTTCTTGGTCCAAGATGATATTGCGCGTACAGATCTCCAAGCTTACCTTTTTGTCATCTTCCTCGGCCTAGCCCCTTCCGTCGGGGCCGGGGCTGCCGGGGGCTCTTTGGCATTGCCTGATGGGTGAGGCACGGCAGGCGGGAAAGCAGCTGGGAGCTTCTGTCGCTGCCAGCAAGAGCAGAGCGTTGCCTGTGCACC